TGAGGCTCAGCACTCCCGTTTGAAGTAGGGTCATAGGTTCTTGCCTTCCAGACATGGGGAGCCTTCAGGTACGTGCCTGAAAAAGCTCATTCAGCGTGTAGGGCCTTCAAGACCCCTCATTATGATTCTAGGACAGGAATCAGGTACTACGTACTCTCAATCCTCCAGCAGAAAGCTTTTTGGCTCCTGGGGCAGAGCCAGTTCCTCCTCTAGAACTCTCTAGAGTCAAGCCCAAGCAGTTCCCAGGGGCAGCACTGAAGTATGGAGCTAAAATCAAACTGGGAATTTGGCCTAGGATGTGTACATTCCTCAGCCAGTCCCCTCTTTTTTCTTTTTTTTTTTTTTTTTTTAATTGGATGATTTATTTACATTTCCTATGTTGTCCCCTTACCCCATCCCCCACCACCCCCTCGGAACCCCCAATCCCCTTGCCCCTCCTCCTTCTTCTCTGTGGATGTAACCTCTATCTACCCCCCCCCACTCCCACCTCCCCACCCTCAAAATTCCCACCCCCTGGGGCATCCAGCCTTCATGAGGTCAAGGTTCTCTTCTTCCACCTATGCCCAGCAGGGCCCTCCACTTTTACATATTCAGCTGAAGCCCTGGATCCCCCCCTAAGTGCTCCCAGGCTGGTGGTTTAGACCCTGGGAGCTGTGGTTGGTTGGTATTGTTGCTCTCCTCATGGTGCCACAAACCCTTTCAGCTCCTTCAGTCTTCACTCTAACTCCTCTATTGAGAACCCCATGATCAGTTCAATGGCTAGTTGTGAGCATCTGCCTCTGAATATGTCTGACTCTTGAAGGCCTCTGAGGAGATATCCATATCAGGCTCTTATCAGCATGCACTTCCTGTCTTCCACATCAGCATCTACCTTTGGTGATTGCACATGGGATAGATACTCAGGTGGGGTGGTCTTGAGACGGCCCCTCCTTCAGTTTCTGTCCCTCACTTTGTCTCCATATTTGCTCCCTTGAGTATTTTGTTGCTCCTTCTAAGAAGGACCGAATCACCCTCACTTGGTCTTCCTTCTTTATGGGCTTCATGTGGCCTGTGAGTTGCATCTTGGGCATTTCAAGGTTCTAGGCTAATATCCAATAATCAGTGAGTGAATACCATGTGTCTTCTTTTGTGATTGGCTTACCTCACTCAGGATGATAATTTCTAGTTCCATCCATTTACCTAGGAACCTCTCGAATTCATTGTTTTTAATAGCTGAGTAATACTCCATTGTGTAAATATACCACATTTTTTGAATCCATTCCTCAGTTGAAGGACATCTGGGTTCTTTCCAGCTCCTGGCTATTATAAATAAGGCTGCTATGAACATAGTTGAGCATATGTCCTTGTTATATGTTCGAGCATCTTCTGGGTATATGCCTAGGAGTGGTATAGCTGGATCCTCGGGTAATGCTATGTCCAATTTTCTGAGGAACCGCCAGACTGATTTCCAAAGTGGTTGCACCATCTTGCAGTCCCACCAACAATGGAGGAGTGTTCCTCTTTCTCCACACCCTCGCCAGCATCTACTATCACCTGAGTTTTTAATCTTAGCCATTCTGACTGGTGTGAGATGGAATCTCAGGGTTGTTTTGATTTGCATTTCCCTGACGACTAAGGATGCTGAACATTTCTTTAGATGCTTCTCGGCCATTCGAGTTTCTTCCGTTGAAAATTCTTTGTTAAGCTCTATACCCCATTTTTTAATAGGGTAATTTGGTTGTCTGGAGTCTAATTTCTTGAGTTCTTTGTATATATTGGATATTAGCCCTCTATCAGATGAAGGATTGGTAAAGATCTTTTCCCAATTTGTTGGTTGTCGTTTTGTCCTATTGACAGTGTCCTTTGCCTTACAGAAACTTTGCAATTTTATGAAGTCCCATTTGTCAATTCTCGATCTTAGAGCATATGCCATTGGAGTTCTGTTCAGGAACTTTTCCCCTGTGCCCAAGTATTCGAGGCTTTTCCCCACCTTCTCTTCTATTAGTTTCAGTGTATCTGGTTTTATGTGGAGGTCCTTTATCCACTTAGACTTGAGCTTTGTACAAGGGGATAAGAATGGATCAATTTTCATTCTTCTACATGTTGTC